TTAATGAAAAATTATCCATTAATAAAAAATTAAACTTATCCTCCAAAAATTAAAAAAATTTTGACACGACTCTTATTCCATATATAATTTTTTAAGATTTGGTCAATTAATTCCCGAAAAATTGGAAAAAATGTGTAACCGGTTCCCAAAAAAATCGGTAACAAAAAATTGTACACTTTATAGCAATCCCGGGGAAATTCTACCTTTATTTCATATGTAATTCTTTAAGATTCAATTATTTCCCGAGAAATTGGAAAAATTTTGTAACCGGTTTTCAAAAAGATCGGTAACAAAAAATAATACACTTTATAGCACTCCCCAGAAAATTCTACCTCTACTTCATATACAATTGTTTGAAATTCGGTCAATTAATTTCCGAAAAATTGGAAAATTTTCTGATACCGATTTCCCCAAAGATCGGTAACAAAAAATTATATATTTTATGGCAATCTCCGGGAAATTCTACCCCTACTTCATATAATTTTTTAAGATTCGGTCAATTAATTTCCAAAAAATTGGAAAAATTTTGTAACCGGTTTCCAAAAAGATCGGTAACGAAAAATTATACACTTTATAGCACTCCCCGGAAAATTCTACCTTTGTTTCATATATAATTCTTTTAAATTCGGTCGATTATTTCCCGAAAAATTAGAAAAATTAGAAAAATCGGTTTCCAGAAAATCGGTAACAAAAAACTATACACTTTATGGCACTCCCCGGGAAATTCTACCCCTATTTCATGTACCCTTGATAAAAATTCGGTCCACTAACGAATGAGTAGTTCGCGGTCAGACAGACAGACAGATAGACAGACAGACAGACGTCCGGTACTTATATATATCTGTATATTAATCTGTATATTAATTATATATGCTTTTTTTTATTCTCACTTTAATAATAATTTGTAATTTAAATACATTTTTTTTATTTTTAAAAAGTTTTAATTTTTCAACATTAATTTTTTAATATTCGTAAATTTTGAGATATCGGGCCTTTTTTTTTTTTTTTTTTTTCGTTGGAGGAGGAAAATGCCTAATGCATACCCTAGGGCCGGTTTCTCTATACTTTATAAAATTTCTCGATATACCACATTTTTGGTATAAGATGTATTTTTTCCCTCAATTAAATGTCCTTGTTTGTTGGTTTCTTCTATTTTTATTTTTACATTTTCTTTTTTTGTTGCTCTAGAAAATGCTACATAGAGTTGTCCATGTGCAAATACTGTATTTCGTAGATATATCCCTACCTTTTTTAATGTTTGTCCTTGGGATTTATTTATTGTCATTGCAAATGCGACACGTATTGGAAACTGTCGCCTTTTAAGCTTAAATGGTAATTCAATATCACTTGGTATGAAATCGATTCTTGGTAATAAGACAATTTTTCCTTTTGCTGGTCCTGTCATAACTTCCGCATGAATCAGGTTTGGTTTCAGTTCTTTTACAATCAATCTTGTTCCATTGCATAATCCTTTCTTTGAATTGATATTCCTTAAAAGTATTATTATGGCACTCACTTTTAATTTTAATCGATGAACTGGCATTCCACTTGGTGTCACACTATTTAAAAACTCCGTTGGAAAATTTAAATGTTCCTGTTCTTCTTCACTTTCAATAGAGTCAATGGATAGATATTCCTTTTCTTCTCCTTATTATTATATATAGATAAATCAGAATATTCAATAAAGTCAATTATTATTTACCAAAATTATTATTTACCTTTAAATCCAAAGGAATGGAAAAATAGAAACAGGAAATAAACAGGGAACAGGAAAAAATCTTAGGAAACAGGAAAAAATCTTTAAAATCTTTATAACGGGAACAGGATAAAACAGGTTTTAACGTTTTTTTGTGTAAGATTAAATATCTGTAAAAAAGACAAAAAGTCAATACGATATTAAACTAAAAAGGAAATTAAACAAAGAGATATGGAGAGATGAAAAGACATCAACATATAAATTTGATATTTAAAATACATACCTTTTTTCTCTCTCTCTCTCTCTCTCTCTCTCTCTCTCTTTCCCTATCTTTCTCTCTCTCTTTCTCTCTTTCTCCCTTTCTCTTTCTCTTTCTTATATCTATGATGATCTATGAATATTCTTTTTCTTCTTTCTCCTCTTTCCTTGCGATTTGTCTTTAATAGATGACATATAATATGTGAATGCAGCAACTTATCCTGATTGACCGCGAGCGATTAATGACGTCACTTGAGCAAATCGAGCATGTATATTTCATATACAATTCTTTAAAATTCGATCGATTATTTCCCGAAAAATTAAAAAAATTAAAAAAATCGGTTTCCAGAAATTGACCGCGAGCGATTACTCGCGGTCAGACAGACAGACAGACTTAAAAATTAGAAAAATTAGAAAAACCGGTTTCCAGAAAATCGATAATGAAAAATTATATACTTTATGGCACTCTCCAGAAAATTCTACCCCTATTTCACGTACTCGTGGTAAAAATTCGATCCACTAACGAATGAGTAGTTCGCGATCAGACAGAAAAATTTAAAAAATAAAAAAAATCGATTTCCAGAAAATCGGTAACAAAAAACTGTACACTTTATGGCACTCCCCGGGAAATTCTACCCCTATTTCATGTACTCGGGGTAAAAATTCGGTCCACTAACGAATGAGTAGTTCGCGATCAGACAGAAAAATTAAAAAAATTAAAAAAATCGCTTTCCAGAAAATCGGTAACGAAAAACTATACACTTTATGGCACTCCCCAAGAAATTCTACCCCTATTTCATGTACTCGTGGTAAAAATTCGGTCCACTAACGAATGAGTAGTTCGCGGACAGACGGACGGACGGACGGACGGACGGACGGACAGACAGACAGACAAACAGTCGCGTTTTATATAATAGTAATGATTAGAATAAAATGCTATACGGTCCAAGCTTGGATTTTTGACAGCCTAATATTAATTTCTGTGTGCATGTATGTATACATATATTTTTCCAATTTATTTAACTGCGCACCGATTTTTTGTCGGACTTGAAACACAGCTATTGTTGGAACATTAAAACTCTGGAACTCTCTGGAATTAAATCGATTTAATTTAATTAGATAAATTAATTAAATTATCTAAAAATAATAATAATTTATTTAACGGAATGTGACGGGAAATGAGAGAAAAAAGTAGACATACAAAAGGGAAGGTAAGATTGTACTAATAGATCATCTTTTAGTAAATAAAGAGAAAAAATAGGGGAAATTATAGGGGTGGGAGAAATAAGAAGGATGGCGGTGGGAAACATTGAAAGTGCAAAGGCCTTCACACATAAAATCGCGTAAGGACGTAAAACGTAAACGTAAGAAAATCGACCAATCCCAATCAAGTACTTATTGTGCTGTCCGTAATCCCAGGGGAAAATACTTGATTGGGATTGATCGATTTTCTTACGCTTACGTTTTACGGCCTTGCGGCATTTTATGTATGAAGGCCTTAAGGAGATTCTAAGTGGAAGGATAGAAGATGAGATAGTGAAGAGTTAGAAAGAACAGAAGAAGGAAAAGAAAAGGAAGGATAATGGAATAATAAATGTGGGACTTCCGTTTCCGATTGGTTAGATGTGAGACGACAGATTTTGTAAGCGAATAACGGAGTGCGAGTGTGAGAGGTAGAGCGAGAGAGTGTGTGGTAAGCGAGGGGCGAGCACAGTGTGGGAGAGGGAAGGTGTGAGAGTGGAAGAAGTGCGGAGGGTTCAGAGAGAGAGCCCGTGGAGGCTGAAAAGAAACAGGAAGGTTGAGGTTAGAGAGACAGACGTAGAAGGGCCAGAAGGGGAAGAGTATAAAGCGCTAGGGTAAAGAGCTAGGGAATTCTGGGGAGTTCGGGAATAACACGGGGAAGCAGTACGGCAGTACGGCCATAGAACTGGGGAAAGAGATACGCGGGGAAGCAGTACGGGGAATATAGACGAGCTTTTCAAGAGGAAGAGGGATAGGAGAAGGAAGAAGGAGCGTTTGGGAAAGGGAGCGAGGACCTTTTCAAGAAAAGCAGGAAGATAGTGAGAACGCCACCAAGGGGGGGGAATATAAATATAAAAGGGTTGTTGAGAGAATTAGGATAAGAGCTGAGGGAGGGGTTAGGGGGAGTGAGAGAGGAATTAAGAGAGGTGGCGAAAGGGCAAAAGGAGGCAATGGTGGAAGAAGTTGAGAAGATAAGGAACGAACTAAAGGAGAAAGAGAAAAAATGGAGAAGGGAGAGAGAAGAGTTTAAGAATAGAATAGAAGATTTGGAAGGAAAATTGGAAGGGATGCAAATAGAGTTAAAGGGAAAAGTTGGTGATGGAGGAAAAGGTGAGAAGGAAGCGGAGGAGGAAAAAGGGAGGGGGGAGGTAGAAGTCTGATTGGAAGAAGAGGGTGGAAAGGCTGGAAAGGAGGTGTAAAGTAAAAGAGAGGGGAGAAAGGAAGAGAAATATTTTAATAAAAGGAGTGAAAGAGGATACGGGAGGAATAAAGGGGGAAGTAGAGAAAGTGATGAAAAAGATAGGCTTAGAGGTTAAGATAGAGGAGATTAGAAAAATAGATGCGGGAAGGAGAGAGAAGGGAGGTATTACTTAAGTATGGCAGTAGTAAGAGTAGGAAGTGAGGAAGAGAAATTAAGAATAATGAGAAATAAGTGGAAATTGAGAGACAAAAGTACTTGGATAGAGGAAGATTTGACATGGGAAGAAAATGGAGAGTAAATCAAGTTGCATGGAAGGCAAGAAAAGAGGGTACGAATAGGGCAGGGAGAGGTATGGATAGAGGGGGAGTGGTGGGTGTGGGATAAGGTAAGAGATGTGCTTAGGGATAGTAGAGGGTGGTGTTGGGAAGCAGGGCAAGGGAAAGGGAAGGAAAGCAAAAGAGAGGAAGTGCAAAAGTAGGTTGAGTAGAAAAGAAAGAGGGAACGGGTGGATGAAAGAAGAGTAAAGAATGAGAAGGATAAGAGGGAGGAATTAAAGAGAAGATTTGGAGAGAAAGAGGTAGAGGAGGGAGAGAGGAGAGAGAGAGAGAGAGAGAGAGAGGAGAGAAGGAAAATATATAAGGTGGCTTTTTGGAATGTGGCGGGATTAACAGATAAAGATAAAGAGTTTTGGAAAGGGCTGGAGGAATGGAATGTAATGGTGTTATGTGAGAAGTGGGTGGATGGTAAGGGATGAGAAAAGATAAAGGAAAGGCTGCCGAGAGGTTACGTGTGGGAAGTGCAGAAAGCAGGGAGGAAGAATCGGAAAGGAAGGGCGGTAGGAGGAATGATAGTAGGGGTAAGGGTAGGGGTCAAAATGGAAAACGGAAGGACGAAAAAAGATAAAGAAGGGATGCTATGGATAAAGGTGAGGTTAGGAAAAAAGTGGTGGAACATAGTAGGAGTGTATATAAATAAGATATGGACAGGAAATTGTTAGACCTAAAGTAATGGGTGGAGGAGATAGAGACGGGAGTGAGGGTGCTGATAGGGGGAATTTTAACGCAAGGACGGGGAAAGAGGGGGGGATTCGTAGAAGAGAGAGAGGAAGAGAGAGGAGAAGGGGAAAGAAGAACAAAAGTTGGCAAGGTAAACGGGGAGGAAAGAAAATTATGCAGATTTTTGGAGGAGCATGGATAGGCGGTTTTTAACGGAGGAATCAGAGAAGATGAGGAGAGAGAATGGACGTATACAGGGAGGAGAGGGGAGTCGGTGATTGACTGCGTGTTGGGGGACAGGAGGACAAGGGAGAGGATAGAACGGGTAGTGGTGGAAGCGAAGGTCGACTCAGACCACCAGTCAGTGACGGCGTGGGTAGAAAGGGTGAAGGACGGTTTGGGTAAAAGGAAGAGGGCAAGGGCGGAAGTGAGAGAGGAGATTGGTCGGAGGAGGGCAGAAAAAAAATTTAAAGAGTTAGTGGGGGATATGCAAATTCAGGAAGGGGAGTGAAAGAGGAGTGGCAGGGGCTGAAAAGGAGGATAGGAAAGGTATTAAGAGAAGTGAATGGGAAAGGCAAAAAGGGCGGAAAAAGGGGCTGTTGGGGTAAAGAATGTAAGGAAGAGAAGAGAAAAGTCTCATGTTAAGGAAATAAAGAAGGGAAGGAAAGAAGAGTAACAGTTATAGGGAGGAAAAACAGCGATACAAGAAGTTGTATAAGGAGAAGAAAAGAAGAGAAGTGGAGAAATGGGAAGGGGAGGTAAAGGAGATTAGGACAGATATAGAAGGTGGTAAACAGGGAGAGAAAGAGGAGAAGAAGGTTGAACGAGGGAATTAGTATGCAGGAATAGGATAGGTATTTCAGAGATTTGTTGGGAGGAGTTGGAGGAGGAAGAGGAGAAGATAAGAAGAGAAGAGATGTGGGAAATAGTGGAAAAGCTTAGGGAGGGAAAAGCGATGGGAAGTTATGGAATTCCAAATGAGGTATGAAAGTTTGGAGGGGAAGTGGTGAAGGAATGGTTGTGGGAGGTATATAATAGAGTGTGGAAAGAAGAGGGTTGGCCGGAAGTTTGGAGAGAGGGAATTATAGTGCCCATAAGAAAGAAGGGGAAGGGGGAGAAAGTGAGGGACGACAGAGGGGTGATGTTAGGACAAACGGCATACAAGGTGTACGCTGCTGTTTTGGCGGAAAGGTTGAGGAAGGAGGTAGCAGAAAAGGGATTGCTTCTGCAGAGTCAGACAGGGTTTAGGAGAGGGGTAGGGACTACGGACCACATGTATGTATTAAATTACTTAATAAATAGGCAGGTAAATTAAAGAAGGGGAAGATGGTGGTGTTGTTCGTGGACTTGAAGACAGCTTTTTTGACTTGGTGGACAGAAGGATTCTGGTGGAAGCGATGAGGAAAAGAGAAGTGAGGGAGGGCTTGATGATGAGATGTAAGAAGCTGTTGAGGGATGCAGGGTGAGGGTGGGAGAGGAGCTGGGAGAGAGGTTTTGAACAGGAAGGGGAGTTAGACAGGGGTGCCCGTTAAGCCCAATTTTGTTTACGTTGCTGCTGACGGACAAAGAAAGGTACCGAATGAAAAAATTAGAGTGTAATAAGTCTTCTATAAGAAATAAAAAAAAAAAAATATGAGAGAGATAAGTACGTGAAGTAAGCGGAGAGGAAAGAGGAATGAGAGGTGGTGACGATTAGATATTAGTACAGTAAAGGAGAAAAAGGAATGAATTAACGGAGAGAAATAGTGGAATGGGATAAATATTTTAGAATAAATATAACGGAAAATATATGGACATGGATAGCGCGCGCGTTAGTGCAGTGTAAGGAGTAGTTAAGTGTAAGGAAAAAAATGTAAGCCGAGGAGGCAAAGTGTGATAAGTCTTATGCGAGAAGTAAAAAGAAAGAAGAAAACAAAATATGGGAGAGACAGATATGTGAAGTGAGCGGAGAGAAAAAAAGAAACGAGAAGTGGCGAATGGACATTGGTACAGTGGATGAGAAAGGGAATACATTTTAACGGAGGGAAATGGTGATGTGGGATGAGTGTTTTAAGGTGAAATGGAACGGAAAAAGTTTGAAGCGCGCGCGTAGCGCGCGTGTGTGCTAGTCTATAATAAAAAAATCCATGGAGACGCGAGAAGTTGTTGTTTGGAGTCGAATATCTCGCACGTAGTGTTGTCGCTTTTCCGCGCGTCTGATTGGCCGGTCGAAGCCGGGTGATCGCGAGTCGCGAGATCGCGGCGAGTTCCGCGAGTTTCGTGCGTATGTATCGTGACTTGACAGCTCGCGTCGTGTCGCGAGGTTAATATATTAATGTGACAGTTAATACATGAATATTCAATAAGCGTGAAAAGTTGACATTACAAATATAGTTAGAAGAAAATTCATGCACATTTAAGATATAATATAGAGAGGTAATTATAAAAATTATTATCGCTTGTATTATTTTAAACAGTATTGTTTTATAAAAGTTTACCGACCGTTTTTATCTAAAATGTATATACATATTGGTATTATGTTGAACTGATATACAGAGCTTATCAGATTTCTTTCTCAATTACAGACGCATGAAGCTGTTAAGAAAGACCGATCTATGTTGGAATACAGCGATAACCTAAAAATCGATAGATAGTGACAGTCGTGACCATCGCCGCATGATAGATAGTGATAGTGAAATATATATTGACGGCAGGGAGCTGATGCCGAGGAGATCTTTAAGAAAGAAGGAGTATCCAAAATCGCACACGTACGTATATATGCTGTCTTGTGAAAGTTGTAAAAGTTAAGAGAACGAGAAAGTGATCTGCTATCTATATGCACGTTGTGACAGGCACTATCGCGTAATAAAGATTTCTCCGAAGTATGTTTATATTGTACTTTACTTTCGTTAACTTAGATGCTTTGAATGTACAATCTCGCGTCTTCAAAATATAATAATTCTTATTGTCAGACACTGTTGAGGCATAATTGTCTAGCACAAGAGGTCCTTTTGTGCTAGATAATATGAGTTGCTACAGAGTGCCTCTAATTGTAAGAATCTTTTCTCCTTTACCCCTTCTTTCTTCCCACAATCTCGAATTTACACTATTGCGTGGTTCGTATCGCGTGTCATTACCTATTATAAATGTCCTCCTTTTCTCTCGTTTTCTCACACAGGAACATTTTATATTTAACTATGTGGTATACAATTTTGCTGCTATATATTTACCACAAGGAGCTGATACCGAAGAGATCGTTAAGAAGGAAGGTGTATCCAAAATTGCAAATGTATGTACGTATATGCTTTCTTGTAAATTTTAAAAGTTGAAAAGAACGAGAAAGTGTTCTGTAGCGCAATTTGTATTGTAGGCAAGTTGTGCTAAAATATTTCTGAATTGAATCCCTATTATCCATTATTATGATATAATTTTTATCAACAATATTAGAGAAGTAACGAAAATTAATTTAATTAAGTATTCAAAGCAATTGAGAGTTTTTAGCATTAAGTATTTCCATTTTCTCATAATATGCTTAAAAAATATTGCAGGGGACTTGTGAGTTATGCGAAGCAATTGATACTGTTAAGGTTCATTGGTCATATGAAGTTTGCACACGTCAAGCTTGACATCCTAAAGATCACAATGCATTCTGAAAACGATACCGTGCAGGTTTGTTGGCGTATACGTGGTGTCACAGGCTGGAAGGTATTTTATATGTTTTGGAAGTAAAATTTGGAAAATACAACATGCCATAATAAGCGCTAACCAGGAAATGTAAGTGTAATCAGTGCTCTAAACATTCCTTTTAAAAATAATATAAAATTGTTCTTATAAACATTAATTATATAATTAATTCAAGTTGTCTATTATTTGAAAAGAACTTGATTTTTAGTTTTGTTTTTTATTCTACCTTCAGAAAAAGATAAAATAATTTAGATTTCCTAAAAATAATTTTGTTTATGCTATTGGAGAGGAAACACTTATTATAAAATTGATTATAATACCGAGACAATTATATATAACGATTTCAGATGGTACGACGGCTTTTTTATTTTTTACGTTAATGCTGAATGGAAAAGTCTATAAGCATATTGCGGACAAGATGATGCCTAATCAGGATACAGCCACGAAAAAGAAAGATATGCACATGGCAGGAAAATTAGCGCTATTCACAGGCCTTGTATGCCTATTTAATAACAACGAGGATTCTTTGAATTGAACTCTGTCTTAAAATCGCATCAATTGAAGTGAATCCACTGCTGAGTGCTGAAATTATACGATTTTATCCGTCACAACGAATAGACCAAGAGAAATGCTTTTTCCAGTCGATGGTCTCGAATGTTGCTGACGTATCTATTTCGTTGCAAATGCATCATTATGAAATCATGATCGGTAGTAAATAGAGATATGTGAATTAAAAAGATGTGTACATTAACTAAACAGTATCTTTGTATGATTACAAACTATCTTCATCTAATTTTTTAGTGACAATGTCCGAATAATTTGCGTTAGTATTTCTGTGAAAAAAAATATGACGATTATATTACAGTATATCTGGCGATTTTTTAACATAATTATAGAGGTAGGGTGTCTAAATCGTTATCGTTCCATCCAAATGTAGCTTATATACTATTCGGATAGTATCGATATTTTATGCTGGTTAGAAACAAGTAAAAAGTATCTTAAGACACTTGTATCGTTTCCAGAATATAAAAACTTGTGTTTATATATTGAGATGATAGATATACGTTTTAAGTATTGGCGTATTTATTTCGTTGCAAATGTATCATGATGAAATGATGGTCGGTAGTAAATGAGAGATATGTGAATTAAAAATATGTACATTACCTAACCCTGCATCTGATTTTTTAATTTCAGTAGTGACAATGTCCGAATAATTTTGCGTTAGTATTCCTGTGTAATAAAATATGACGATTATACGATTATATTACAATATATCTGAAAAATGTTAGAAAATGAAACAATTGTTTAAAGGTATCCTGTATATCATAGTACATTTATTATATTGCAAATATATTTAAATTTATATATTAGTTAACTTCTTTATATACACTACCTCTCATTAATTTTAATATACAACAGATTTGTTGATTTCTCTATAATGGATGAACATCATGATACGTGTTTTACACAGAAATGAATGCACTTGCTGTTATAAACATTTCACTTGCATGCGTGGCATTTTTATATAAATAATATATAAAAATGCAATGCATGCAAGTGTTTATAACAGCAAATGTATTCATTTCTGTACAAAACATATGTATCATGTTCATCCTTTACAAAGAAATTAACAAATATAGGGGTATATTGAAATTAATGAACGGTAGTGTATGTAAAGAAGTTAACTAATATATTAATTTAAATGTATTAGTTAAGAGATGGAGAGATGGGAGGAAGAAAGGGCAGGGAGAAGTGAAAGAGGAAAGAAAGTGGGAGATAAGAAAAAATGATAGAGCAATGGAAGCGAAGGTAAGAGAGCTGGAAAGGTGGAGAGAGTTAGAAGAGAGAGACAGAAGGAGGATATAACTAAGATGAAACTCGATGTAGTAGTACAAGGAAAATGGATTTCCGTTGTTATTTAATTGTAACAATGATAGGCGACAGCTCCAAGAAATTCTGGTTGAAAAATGTTTATAATGTTTCTTTTTATTTACTTAAGATTTAGTTGATTAGTTCTTGAGTTATAGACGTTTGAAAATTTGGAAAATCAGTAGGTACAGGAAACAATGGATAAATTTCTAATTTTTGTTTTACACTGTTTTATTATATTAGTAATTTTTTTATATTGAAAATTAGAGACCTAAAAAATCATTATATATCAATTTTTATATTAAATTGGACATTAAAGTTGGGAGCACATACTTTTGCATAACGCATAACGCGTATTATAAGCATAAGAAAATTGATTGGTCCACATACATGTGTACATGTGTATAAGGAAATAGACTAATCAATTTTCTTATGCATACAAATTATGCAAATGTTTGTGTTCCCTGCTTTATTTCTCAAAATAAAAGGATTGGTACATATATGTACTATCCGTCCCGAAAGAGTTAAAAGTCTATATATGTTATGTATTTCATGTTTAAGAAAAATATATTTTTTAGTGTCAAATTTTTAATAGTTTATTTAAGAAGTTATAAGGAGTTATAAGAAAATTATACAATTTCAACAGATTAAATAGTTGAATGTTCAAAATAGGATATTTATCATGGAATTTATTATATAAATTTCCAATGAATGTCTAATATCTAGAAGATATTTACTAAACATTTTTGTCTTTTTTTTGTAATTTTATCCTATTGGATAAAAGAAAAGTTTGATTAAGGCCATTGCACGTAACAAAGTTTTCGTCGTAATCGTACGGCCATAAGGAAATAGACTAATCACACTCAATTATTTTTTGAGCGTGAAGAGAATAATCGACTGTGATTGGTTTATTTTTTGATTTTTTTCTTACCGGCCTTATAATTATGGCTAAATCTTTGTTATGTGCAATGGCCTTAAGGTGCCAATTCATGGGACGCTGAAAAACAGCGTTGAGCGACGTCACGTGACATCACTTTGATGCCAGCGTCAAGAAAGAGAAGTTAGATTTTTCCAACTTCAAGCGTCAAAGCCAAAGCAGCGCGAAGACGCCGAAATTTTGACGCTGTTTTCCTTTTCATGAATTTCAATTGACGCCGGCGTCAATTGTGATCATGCGACCTTCTTGCCGCTGAAAATGAGCGTCGAGCGTCAGCATGAAAAGGCACCTTTAAGAAAAAGAGAGTGAGCGAGCGAGCGAGCGAGCGAGAGAGAGAGAGAGAGAGAGAGAGAGAGAGAGAGAGAGAGAGAGAGCTACAAAAAGAAGGAAAAAATGAAGAAAGGAAGAAAAGGAGAGATAAAGAGAAATCTTTCTTTATTAGTATTAGTTTAAAAAATATTTCTTTTCCTCCTCCTCCTCCTCCACCTTTTTTATACATAACGAGTCGAATATCTCGCGTTGTGATATTGTTGCTTTTCCGCGTGTTTGATTGGCCGGTCGAAGGCGGTGATCGCGAGATCACGGCAAGTTCCGCGACTTCGCGCGTGTGTGACGTGTGATTGCTCGCGTCGTGTCGCAAGGTTAATCGTCCCATATCGTGTGTTCTATTTACACGGCTATCAACAGCAGCTATAAGCTACTTTCAGTTGGCATTGTTGGCAAAACTTCAGTAGTAAAAGCTGGCCATATTGTCCTCGGAATAGAGGCAGGAGCCAATTAAACAAAGAAGAAGAAGTCCCATATCGTATCGCGGGATATTGACATGATCTTTCATTAGTAAGTGCAATCGTTTAATTCCGAATTTCGGTTGTGTCACGAGCGTTATTTCTGTAGTAATTTACGATAATTAACTCGTTTACGTGGGATGAATTGTCATCAGTAACTCCACTTACGTGGAGGTTATTTATCATATATGTTACAAAAGTAACGCTCGTGTAAACGTAGTTTACGTGACAAATAGTGCGTGTAAATGTGTGTATGTGTGGGCGTGCGTGTGTGTGTGTGTGTGTGTGTGTGTGTGTGTGTGTGTTGTGTGTAGAAGTGCGTAAGAAAACAGCTCCAAAAATTGCGACAGAAGTGCATAATATCTGTGATTGAATGAGTTACTGTACTCTTGCAGCAATCTGCTGTAAGAAGCTATTATGAAATTTTATACTATTTAGCCTCTTGTAGACTGTTGCAAGAGTACAATAAGTACTCGTTCAATCACAGATATTATGCACTTCTGTCGCAATTTTGGACTGTATTGTATTACCAAGATATGTGTAATGTAAATTTATAAGTCGTCTAAAATAGAAGATTTAAAAGAAGTGAGTATGAAATAGATGAATATTTTTGTTACAGAATATTGGAACGTATTATGGTAATAACGAAATAATAACGGAAGAAATGCAAAAGTTTGAAACGACGCTATATAAAATATATAATTGTGTGTTGGCACTGGTGGAACGTCTCGATGAGGAATTCATAAAGTTGCTGAAGGAATGTGATTTACACAGTAATGAATACGTGGAAAGGTAATACTTGAAATTATGCGAAATATATTTTTAACATAAATATAAATAAAGTTATAATTGATTGATACATATATGGAGGGGTTAAAGTCATATTGGTGTAAGTCAATTTTTTTTATTATTTTTATTTCTTTCAACATATCTGCATGTGTAGACTGCATCTATAAACTTAACTCGATAGGTTAAAAAAAATGACACTTATGGTTTTAACTTTATATATATATATATATGTGTGTGTGTGTGTGTGTGTGTGTGTGTGTGTGTGTGTGTGTGT